GTCACAAGTTTTTGCCATGAATATTTTGTGGGTCAGAAGACAAAAAGTTTGGGAACCACTGGTTTAAACCACTAAGCCAGGCCTTTTGGAATGACGACTATTGAATTTTCATCTTTATTTTTCTTCTCCAGGTCCTCGCTAACGGTCTGGACAACAAGCTGAGAGAAGATCTGGAGAGGCTTAAAAAGATCAGGGCTCACCGTGGTCTCAGACACTTCTGGGGGTAAGATCTGACTTCTTGAGTTTCAAAAGTTTATCTAATTAAAAAAAAAAAAAAGCCAAACATCAGCTCTGCATCAAATGATCCTCCCGTTTGCCAGAAGCTGTGTTGTCAACTTACACCGATCTGGCTTGTTAGTAAGTTAAATGTTAATCTCTGACAACTGAAATGAAAGTTTCAAAAGATTATTCTTTACAGGGTTTTTAAGGCAAGACTGAACAGTTGTTTTGTTTAGGTTTCGTACAAATAGATACTAATTAAACTTTGAAGGTGAACTGAGGAGATGATGCAGAGAGAGCCTGTCCTGGGAAAAACTTGAATTGCTCATAAATTTACCTCAAAATAAATTATTTATATACAGTACAGCAACTAATTTATTATGTTTTAAGTTGGAATGAATCTTAATGTTTTGTTTTTTGTTTTTCCCCTTAGTCTGCGTGTGCGCGGTCAGCACACAAAGACCACCGGTCGTCGTGGTCGCACTGTCGGTGTGTCCAAGAAGAAGTAAACCCCCTCCCAAATGTTTCAATAAACACCACAGTTCACAAACTTTTACTTGCCGTTTTCTTTTTTGGTTAGATCCAGTTTAAATTAGATTAAAACTGGGTCTAATTTAAGTGGCAGGTGTTTATAAAAATGGGGGAAAAAAGAAACAAATACAAAAACTTAAGTGTTTTCAAAATTTGGTTTATTTTGGATTAATAGAAGAGTACATTTTTGTAAAGAATGATATTGCATTATACACATTCTCTACTGAAAGTAGGTAAAAATGGCTGCAGGGAATATAAAGTGCAAAAGAACAGAATAAGCTAAGAGCTGAAGCTCAACTCTGATTAAACCTTTAATAAGGCTTATGGCTTATTTTTAAAGGAAAATGTTTTCATGCAAATTAAATAATGATTAAACCTGATGTATGTCAGTGTGGGGGGGGGACTCAATTAATTTAACCTGGAACATTTCCAACTATTACAAGAAAAATGAGCACAAGACATCATCTACAAACGAAGTGTGAGGGGAAAAGATTAAGAAAGCTATATATATGAAATCTCAAGAAATACTCTTATTTACAGAAAAAAATAATTCTAGTTGATTAGAGATCTGCTTTGAAAACTGCAAATTTAAATAAATATTAGGTGATCTAAATGTGCGTGTATTTATGTAGTGACAAGCTGTCAAAATAAACCTGAGAACTGCAGAGCTTCAATCACGGCTCCCCGTAACAGAAACGTCCTTTACAATTTGATTCAGCAAGATCTAAACAAAAAGTATGATTTTATAAATTGCTGGATTAAAAAAAAAAAAAGTGAAGATTTGAGGCAGAAAAGCAAAACATGAAATCTACATCATTAGTATGGTAAAATACAACATTTCTAGAAAGGGATATAATCACAAACCAAAATTAAATACACAAAGAAAAATCTATTAGTCATCAGTGATGCTGATTTAAAGGAGAAAGCATGTTAAACTAAGAAGAAACATTAAGAAATAAAATAGAAATCTTGAAATAATCTTGGAGATTATTTTTTTACGTAAAAAGCATTCCACCTTTCTGTATTCTTTCCTTCTATCTACTGTTGCAGAGTTTGTTTTTCCACTGAATGTTTTAAATCCAGGTCAAATGTCACGTTTCAAACAAAACACAAAAAAATAAAGTCAAACAGTTTTAATTAAGCGCTATAATTAGCAAACAGAAGCTGATCTTGCTGCAGCAGAGAGAACGAGGGCACGAACAGTTGAGGTGGGTTGGATGTTGCCCCTCATCCTTCCTGTTGGGAAGACTTCTGCTGCTGCTGCGCTGCTTGTGGCTGCTGCTGGTCTTTGGTGGGAGCGTAGTAGAGCTCCAAWGGCTTCCTGACCTTCCAGTATTTCTCGTTGACTAATTCCAGAGTCAGAGAACCGTTGAGGGTCTGAGAGCAGGGATGAGGTGGACAAAGTTAACGAAAAGTTAAACGTAAATACTTCAATTTTAGCTAAAACATACTAAGTAGGCTACAGTGCTTTTAAGGAATCCATGATTAGTTGTAACATTAGACTTAAACATATTTTAACTGTAAAATAAAGACTAAAAATACTGTAGACTGTAGTTTTTATAACTTTTAAACTAAAAGTTTAAAAATATACGTGGACGGGGTCTATTTTATTTACGCGCAAAGCATTCTGGGTAAATGATGACGTGGATAGGTCCTCAATGCAAGACTGCTAGCGAGCTATATCCACCCTGAAGATGAAACCAGAGAGCGTTGACAGAGAGGAGAAGGTAGAAATGACTCAGCCTGCAACTGAAAATATGGATGGAGGACCTCAGTTTAGCTTGTTTGTCGCGCTAGCGCCGAGCTAATACATATGGCGATAGCGTCGGGGCTAATGC